TTTAAAAATATTTTTGATCGGAAGTAAAATAGTCGCACACTAGTTGCAACAAAAAATGGTAAAATTCTTTCGACAGAATAAGAGAAATGTACTGTACTTCTCTTTTCATAGAACCATTAAGGTCGATATGGCTGCAGTTTTTAACAAAATTCATTTGAAAAAGTCAGAGAGTAAATATATGATTCCTTGAAGGTTCTCTCGACTTGAAAATACAGTATATTTTTCAATAAGGAAAATAAATGTTTGTATATAAGTGATCTTCTTCCGAAAAAAATTTCAACTTCGACAATATTAGTGGAATTGAGAGAAAGGTCAACAAACAAAAGAATTCAGCTATTGAAAATCACGCACTTAAAAAGAAATCGTGCGGTGTTCCCAAGTGAGAAAAAGCGGATTCTTGGTATCTCGGATATGGCGAGATATAGAAGATACAGTGGCGATACGGACGATACCTGGGAGATGCCAAGAATATCGGGAGATACCTAAGATGCCTACAATATCAAGAAGATACCGACGATACCATGCAGATACCGAGAATACCATGGAAATACCTAGGATACCATGTGGATACCGAGGATAAAATAGAGATACACAGAATGTGATAGGTATATAGGAGATAGAAAGAATACAGAATTATAAAGTGAAGAAGTTACGAAATATATACGAATGATACAAAGAGACTACTGATGGATCAATTACCATAGCAACTTTTATCGATTACAAAAGGTTTCGAATATCTTTCGTTATATACATTTTGACATTAACTACACCATTTTATGAGGTGTAATAGATTTAAACTTAGGACAACAACAATATCAATTACTTAGTGTCTATTGCTTATATCTATGGAACGTTCGCTCAATGTATGCACAACATTCGGCTGAGGAAATAGTATAGAACGAAAAACTAAACTTCTGTTTGTTTGCTTCAGTATATTCCAGGCTATCACCTTTTAACAAGAAGGAAAAAGTAAATCTCGATATCCTCTATATCTCCATCATATGCTCTGTATCTTGGTGGAACCTCTGTATTCCGATAGTATCCTTCGTATCGCGGTGGTATCTTTCGTATCATGATGGTATTCTCCATATCCTGAAGATATCCTCTGTATCCCAACCTATCCAGGATACGAGAATTTGCATATTTGGATATAAAGATTTAACGTGTCCGGGATATGGTGGGGATACAGAGGATACCACCAGACTACGGAGGATACACAGGATACCGAGATCCACTTTTTCCCCTGGGGTCTAGCAGTGCTTTTGCTCTATTCATTCATATCTATTTAGCTAGAAAGTATCAGATTATTCCTCAAAATATTATTGGAAGTTTCGAAATATAACTAGATTGCCATTTACAAGTGTCATAAACACTATTCTAAGCTACAGGCAAAACATGTCTTTCTCATTATTTAAGCTGCTCAAACAGGCGTGAAGCCATCACTACTAACCCAAACGACCTTGAAATCAGTTAAAGACGTGCCATTTTTATTAATTCGACTTACTGGAACATTATTACCATCCGGAACAGTATTATTAATAGGTGGTACAAAGATTGTAAATTCCTATTCGAGTTGTGAAGCATATATTTCTTCATCCAATACGTGGATGGTGCTTCCAAGCTTATCAACACCACGTCATGAACACACCGCTACTTTATTATCATCTGGACATGTGTTAGTCACGGGCGGTCAAACTACTAGTGATAATATTTATTCTTCGTGTGAATTGTATGATTCTTCATACAAAATATGGAAAGCGATTCCAGATATGTCATCAAAACGTTCTCAGCATACAGCCGTCTTATTGAAGTCTGAGAAAGTTTTAGTTATAGGTGGCCATGATCATGATAATATTTTAGCAAGTTGTGAAATGTACGATCGTTCATCCAATACGTGGACGTTGGCCGCTAATATGACATCATCTCGTATGTCTCATGCTGCCACTTTATTATCATCTGGCCACGTACTGGTGATCGGTGGTGGTTCTGAGAATGATTCAACTTGTGAAATGTATGACCCTGCATCCGATACTTGGACTCCGGTAGCCTCTATGTCAAGAGGACGTAGTTTTCATACAGTTACTTTATTATCTGACGGTAAATTATTAATAACAGGTGGATTTAGTAAGACTCATAAATACTGGTCTGATTGCGAAGTGTATGATCCTCGGTCGGATAAATGGACTTCAATTGCTAGTATGACCACCGCACGTGCTGCACATACCGCTACATTATTGCCATCAGGAAAAGTTTTTGTAACAGGTGGTACGGCTGGTGACAGTATGTTTCAAGCATTGTCTAGTTGTGAGATGTATGATCCTCTATCGAATACATGGGTTCCAGTCGCCGAGATGTCAGCTCCACGTTTTCAACACGTAGTCACTTTGTTACCATCTGGTAAGATATTAGTCACAGGTGGTTTGGGTAATCCGCTTAGTGAACTATACGATCCTGTATTCAATACGTGGAGTCCAACCGCTAACTTTCCGATTTTTGTTTTGCAACACACTGCAACTTTGTTATCATCTGAAAAAGTGTTAGTAGCGGGTGGTTTTGATGGTTGGGATTCGTTATCGATTTGTGCAATATACAACACTCCATTAAATACATGGATTCCAGCTATGGATATGTTGGTTCCACGTTCTCAGCATACTGCTACTTTACTATCACCTGGAAATGTTCTGGTAACAGGTGGATATTCGATGATAAGCTGCACAGCAAGATGTGAAATATATAACACTTTATCCAACATGTGGACTGAAGTTGCGGATATGTCAAAATCGCGCTGTCAACACACTGCTACTTTACTACCATCTGGACACGTCTTAGTAATAGGTGGCTTTAATCGAGATTTGAATGACGAGTATTTTTCGAATTGTGAAATGTACAATGCTTTGTCCAACACATGGACTTCACTCGCCAATATGGCATCGTCACGTTCTCAACATACTGCTATCCTTTTATACTCTGGCAAAATATTAGTGACTGGCGGTTTTGACGGAAATGATTACTTATCTAGTTGTGAAATGTATGACCCTAAATCCGATGTGTGGACTTCGTTTGCCGATATGACAAAAGCACGTTCGCAACATACTACCACTTTATTATCTTCCGGTGAAATCTTAGTCACAGGTGGTTTCAATAATGGATATTACATGGAAGATTGTGAACTTTACAGTCCTTCATCGAATATGTGGATACCAGTGATGAACATGTCGTTCCCACGCTATCGTCATACTGCTACCCTATTATCATCTGGGCACGTGTTAGTCACCGGTGGTGATAATCATGATAACTTCTCAACTTGTGAAATATACGATCCTCTATCCAAAAGATGGACTCTAGTCTCCAACATGTCATTATCACGTATTCAACATAGAGCCGTTTTGCTATCATCTGGGAAAGTATTAACGACCGGTGGGAATACTCTTCCAATTGGCGAACTCTATGATCCTTTATCAAATACGTGGACTTCTGTGGATAAAACAAATTCAGAACGTTTTCAACAAACAGCTACAATATTGTTATCTGGGGATGTCTTGATAGCAGGTGGTTCAAATGTTTGGAATCGTTTGTCGAGTTGTGAAGTATACAATTCTTCATTAAATTTGTGGACTCGAGTTGCTAATATGGCATCATCACGATTTCAACATACTGCAACGTTACTATCATCTGGGAAGGTGTTAGTAGTAGGTGGTGCTGATACTTTCAATTTGAGCTCAAGCCCTTGTGAAATCTTTGATCCCCAATCGAATACGTGGACGCCACTCTTTGGTCTAAGTAATGAATTTACCGGACATACTGCTACTTTACTACCTTCTGGAAAAGTATTAGTTACAGGTGGAATTGATCCCTTCGAACACTTTCGTACTTGTCAGTTGTTCGATCCTCAACATATGAAATGGACTAAGGCAGCTGATATGCTATCAAACCGTTTTCAACATACCGCAACTTTATTACCAAATGAGCAAGTGCTAATAGTAGGTGGATATGCAGAGAGAGCATTGTCGAGTTGTGAAATGTACAAAATCTCTTCGAATACGTCGACTAAAGTTGCTGATATGTCAACTGCACGTTTTCAACATACAGCCACTTTACTATCATCTAAACAAATGCTAATCATAGGTGGTGCTGACGGAAACAAATCCTTGTTGAATAATGAAATGTACAATGTTTCTTCTGGCACGTGGAGCTCAGCAGCCAAAATGTTATTTGCTCGTGCTGGACACACTGCTACTTTACTATTGACGGGCAAAGTTTTAGTAACAGGCGGTATAAATAATGGTGATTACTTGTCTGGTTGTGAATTGTACGATCCTTCATCCGATAAGTGGAGTGTGGTTGCCAGCATGTCATCGCCTCGTGTTTATCACACGGCTGCATTATTATCATCGGGGAAAGTATTGGTGGCTGGTGGTTCTAGTCTACCACTAGGTGAAGTGTATGATCCTTCATCCAATACGTGGAGTCCAGTCGTCAATCCGTCGATAGCACATGTGGCACAGGCCGATACTTTATTGTCTTCTGTATAAATATTCGTAGAAGCATGATTCAGATGGATTGATGTTCAATGTTTTTGATTCATATAATTTCGTCCTTTCTTTTCAATATTTTGCTTCAAATTTTCACTGACACATGAAAAAGCAACGAAACATTCGAATGAATTGCTTTTTTTTTGTTACTTTTTTACAGTTAGTAGTCATATGGAATGCCGTCATCATTTTAGTTTGTATTGCAATATCAGAGTGTCCTTTTTTTCAAACATGGAAAATAGTTTTTTCAAAATGACTATTTCCAATCTGCATATAATCTTGTATCGTCGGCTTATTGTGAATTTGTGCATAATGAACTTTGCTAAAAGGAAATGTCATCTTTTTGCATGTACTAATACTCATTGAATTTCCCAGTTCGGTCTCTTTCGAACAATTCATCACATATTCATCTTGGCTTCTTCAATTTTTCTTTACTGATTGAAATATTGAGAGTGATGTTGAAGTGAAGCTAATCATAGTGGATAGATCTACAGTTACCACAACGCTAAGTAGATAATGTCAATATACAACATTTCATCATTGCAAGATTCTGAATTCATTCTCTTTCTTATTGTGTACATTTATTTCATTGAAAATCATAAGAAGAAAACGAGTCAAAATATAATTCAAGGTCTTTCTTTTGTAATAATACTTTTTTCTCAAGCAATTTTCCTATATTTTTTCTGCCATACATGCCGATGAAGTAAGTATCTATATACAGGGTAGGAAATAATATTATTCCAGGGAAATAGCGCTATGAGGGTGTGGGTGTAGTTGCTGATCATCTGGATATCCACACCCAATACCTACAATCATACCCACATCCACACCCACCCACACCCATAGCAGATTGGTACTGAAAGTGATATACTGACGTTTCTGTAACCCTGACTCGAGTCGTCTAAGAAAGCGCCATTCTTTCAGCATAGACAGATCTCATTGAGAGCTACAAAATGATGCTAAAATATGTGGGTAAATATGTTGCGCTCTAAGTTTCCCGAAGGCCACACCAGTGAAAAATGGATAGGTGGTGAGGTTGTATCCATATGATCTACGCTATTATTCATAGAACTGGCGCCATTCTTTAGTATAGACAGATCTCATTCAGACCTACACAATGATGTCAAATAGATGTGTAAATATCCTGTGCTGGGTGTATCCTGAAGGCCAGCGCATTCCGACAGCGCTTTCCATTTATTATACATTGAACGACACTTATTTCAGATATAGCCATCAGCTGATAGATAAGTTGGAAGCAAACGAGTAGCAACAGAAAGTTGAATACACTCGCTTTTTACTGGACGTCGTTCATTCACAGTTACACAAATAGGGTGTGGGTGTGCATGTGGATGTGGGTCTAGCTCTTGTCCTCGGCGACATCCACTCACACCCACACCCTAGTTCATAATGATTAATTTTTAATAAGAAAGGCATATATATATATTCATATTATTTTTCTGAAAACCATGAAATCATGTGTACGTCTAAAACAGAAAACAATTAATTGGATGAAGTAGTAAATTGACAGTGTAGCATTGCTAACAAACAAATCTCAACGAAGTTTCCATGGCTCAAAATTAAACTACATAGCAAAAATTCTTTTATCACCAGGCTGTTCTCATTGAACTATGGCAATTTCGATAAGCTTCGAGTGGTCGAAATCGATCTAAGCAGTCGAAAATCAATGTACTCTAGAGGAAGGATTTCGAGGATCAATTTTCGATGGGCTCAAATATCAAACAGAGCGAGAACAAAAATATCTATTTCAAGTTTCGACCACTCGCCGCACCTTCACTGACATTTTACGGCCTGCTTGGATCACGTTCGTCAGTCAGTATGATTAAGCAGTATATAGAAAGATGCAGATTGATGGCGTTTTTTCTAATATTGAAAACTAGATCGATTGTTCGAAACTTTGAAGTAAATCAAGCGGCAGAATATCAATAATAGCAACTGGAACACTGACGTTGAAGACTATTTCCGAAATGTAACTGCGAAGCAGGCTTGAAAAAAAATGAGAACTAATAGACTTTAGTTGAATAGACTGTGGGTGGGTATGGCTCTTTTTGAAGCAACGATTCATATTCACACTCCACATCAACATTCTCATTACTACCGACCCAAACAATAAAAGTGTGCGACTCAAGTTGATTGTAGTCGTATTAGTTCTGTTCAACTAAGTCGCAATTTGTTGATGAACACCAAGTGTAGGCATTGATTGTGACCACATGATGTTTTGAATGAAGTTGTTATCAATCGTAGCAGCACTATATGCATAACTAATGATAGTGAATACACCTGACTTATCCACCTATATAGGACCATTCGAAAATCGACCTTGAAAATAGGGTGGGCGAGGTCAAAGTTGATTTACTAAATTATAAACATTGTCTGTGTCCGAGCGCGAGTCGCCAAACACCATTACCATATCGAACGAAATCTGTTGCGTATCTATGTGGTGAGCGTGTAATGTGGTTAGGGGGACAAAAACGACCAAAGCAGTAATACAACGCATTTTTCGTACCTGTGTAATCAGCTATGGCGCATGCGTGATATTTTATTTTCATTTGACCTTACATCTATTGATAAGAACACGGCAAGGATTAGAAGAGCAGTGATTATAACAAGTTGCGTATATAGTTCCCTTATGCTATATATCAAATCTCGGCTGAAAACATTTAAAGTTGAAGGTCAAAGAAAATCCTTTGTCAAACGCTTTACCTATCTTGCTGTCTTTTGGACTTCGCAATAGATGGATTTTAAGCGTTAAGCATGACAGAAAAAATTCACAAATTCTGCAGAGTATTTCAGGTATAAAAAATAGACCGCGAGCTGCCATCAAAAGAGAGCCTTGTCTTCTGTGCCTTTGAGACAAGAGAATGTTAGGTAGCAGCTATGAAGCCAATGATCAAAAGCAAAGAGATGGCCTGTAAGTTATTCTAACACTGAATTATATTAGACTCAGCCAAAACGAATTCAAAATGGCATTTCCAATTTACAGTAGGTGCCTCACTTTTAAGTCGAAACAATCAAAATAGCACGATTGAATCTGTTACAAACTGAACGATAAGTCAAGAATTTCGACATCGAATGTCGAAGCTTCTATACTGTTTCGATTTGTTATTCAGGATACTAATGATCCACCCCGATAAGCACAACTATCATTTGTGATATGTGTCCCTCGAGAACAACTTACATTACAAGAGTAACTCAAGTTTTGCAATATTTATCAAGGAACCTTCATCAATGAACTCATTTTTATTGACAAGTTTGATGTTCGGCAAAGTCTGGCGTATGGGTGTAGGAATCAGCGTGTGTTAGTCAGAGTATAAACATAGGTGAGACGTTTGTTTTCAAACACGCCTACTTACGGACTTGAAAGAGCAAATGGCTTAATTTTCATTTTTTCCAAACCTAAACATTGTTGACTCTTATATGGCATGTTTTAAATTTATTACTTGATTCACATTTCGTTTGTTCATTGTATATTTTTTGGAAATCAATCATAGTTACAGATCGTTTGTCTGATATGACCACTGAATACTTATGTGCACCAATATGCAATGCGACCAATTGTCTGTAAAGAAATGGTCACGATGAAATGCTCAGAACTGATCATCTTATGACTAAGTGAACAGTCGCCGAATGCTGTACTTTACTTACGAGACTACTTAACTGAATTTTTATTCTCTTTAACTAGTTTGTCTTAGTCTCGGCCTCAATCCTGAGTCTGACCTCTTAAAGTGCTTTGGTTCAAGTCTCAGTCGACTCTTGATTAGGTCCATATTTCTTACAATATAATTCAACATTTATCAAAAATCTTCTTTCATAAATAAAGTAATCGATAAGATAATGAAAAGTGATTTTCAAATCAGCAACTAGCCTACATTGTCGCGACTAGAGGTCGAAACTGAGTCGAGTGGAAGTTTCTTTTGTTTTTTTACTCATTTTAGTCTTTAGTTGCGACGGATTGTGATAGTATCGACTGCTATATCATCTACTATTGATTGAGGGGTATATTTTCACTGATTACAGAATTACTATTGGTCTTGTTATAGAAACAAATAAAAAGTTTGAGAACTGAGGATTTCTCTTTTGCGTAACTAAGTATGAAAATAGTGAGTGTAGACTTTTTTCTGAAACTTTTTATTCCCCAATCCTACCCCTTAGAGATATCTACTCCATCATTTTAACATGTTCTGCGAGCTCAAGATAAGAACTATACTGCTCGCCAGAAGTCCCTTCACCATCCTCTCTCCCCCCTGAAATTTATCAATATTTCAAGCCAAAAGCTTAAAATTCTGGTGTGTGTGGATGTTGGCCTCAATTGAATGGAGACCCTGACATCCGCACTCTGTTGATTTTTTATTTTGCTTATCCATCATAATATTGGTGGTAGTTTCGGTAGAACAAAAATGACGACATGATTAACAATACTTACAGGTGTTCGAAATGAGATAATAACTGAACACAAACAGATAGAATTCGTCGCCCTCTTTTTTCTCTACATGTATTTGCATGTTTCTTTTTGTGACTGATTTACTATAGAAGATTTGATGAACTTCGTCAGAAAAAGGAACAGATTATCGTCATCCATCGAACAGAGAAAAAACAAAGAGCGAAAGAACAATTTTGAATAGAGCTTTGAAAAATGTTTTTTCTTCTCCTTGTTGTCCTTTTTCAGTAGCTCACATGGCATCTTTTCAGATAGAGTTTCGTCAAGGAAATAAAGCCTTTGGACTGATTTTATTCATGAGTTGATAGATCAAGCTAGATCAAAGTTTTCTAGATGGTGATATTGCTATTTTGAAAACATTCCAATGTAACCAGCCAGAGACAAATAGGAAATGTATTATATATTAATTATAGATTGCAACAGTACACTGTCACTGAAAAAAGCAAACGAAGGATTTCCTCCTGACAGTTAGGGTTTGGGTGTGTGTATCTATGGTCGATTCAGACCAACACCTGTACCCACGCCCACACTCTGCACTATAAAACTACTTTCTAATAAAAAAAAAAAAGGTGCCGGATAGAACTATTTTTTGGTTCCGCCCATGGGCAGAACCAAAAAGGTAGACTTATTGACTGAACATTTTCCAGTTCTGCTGAACATGTTTAGAACTGAAAAAAAGTTCATAAAATTGTACCGAAGAATGGTTCTGTCCAACACCTTTTCTTTTACAGAGTATATACTAAGAAAAAGAGGGATATAAATCATTTCGTGACTGGTTCTTCTTCTACGTGTACTTTTTGATCGTTTCGAAAAGCAAAGTAAAATAGAAGACCGAAGGCGAATGCCTGAATTGCCAACGCTGCATACATCCATAGTAGTTTTGGATCCTCTGATACTGGTACAAGTGCAATATTCAGGATACTGCCGATAGCCGATGTGAATAAGTAAAGTGACATTACGATGGATTTCATAGACTTTGGTGCCTCTGTAAATGCGTACTCGAGACCAGTAACAGAAGCGAAGATTTCGGAGATGGCAATGAAAAAATATGCTGGAATTTGCCAAGCTACAGTAATATTGTTATATTGTTGACACTCTTTACAAGGTTTGGGCACATAATCAAAGTTTGGCCCAGCAATATAGATTAGATGTTGAACGATTGCTGACCATGCCATGCCAAGAGAAACACAGAAGAAACCAGCAGCAATACGGGAAATAGCGGGAAAATTGATTTTACATCGTCGCAAGCCAGGATAAATCAATTTGTCAAAGATTGGAATGAAAACAACAATAACAAGCGGATCGATATTTTGTAAAATATCATTAGGCAGAGGACCTGAAAAAAATCAAAGATTGGATAGCATCCTGTTTGTTCTGATTATTTTAAAAGGAATTATGAACTCACCAACATTCATCTGCGCAGCTTGAGATACTAGATTGGTTCCAAACTGATTGTAGCAGATCCAATAGAATGGATAGAAAGCAAAAACACGACAAGCACGTACTGCTTTTTTGAGATCATCAATAAACTCATTGTTGCTTAATTTTGAAACCGTCTCTTTTTCATTCAAATCGCTCGCCGACGACATGTCTTTGGCGTAATCTAAAAAATCTGGCCGATTGGGTTGTTTACCCAATTTTCGTCGCATTCGAATGGCAGTCACTGCCACTCGAGCAGCGCGAATTATCAATGAACCAGACGGAGGTTTTTGAACGTATTGATTGCGACCGATCACCAAGACAACGATGGCAGCAATGAATGCGACCGTGGGTAGAAGAAACGCAAGCCAAAATGAATGATACTTTTCAATGTTTGTAGTAGCAATCAATGAAAGTGAGCCAATATTAATAGCCCAATAAAACCAATTGAACATCGATTGCATCGTTCTGAAATACGAAAAATGTAGTCCAAGAAATAAGCTGATAAATGTTCAATCAACTCACACGCTTGGATCAATAATTTTCCTTTTGCCTTTTATTACTATAAAAAAACCAAGAAAAGGAATACTTCTTTCGAAAAGACTTTTCAGTTACCTTTGATAATTGATTTTGTCCTAGAATATTGTTCGGCCATCAATGGACTCACATTACTCTTTACACCACCTGTACCAAAACCCAAAATAACCATTGCTATGATTAAACCAGGAAAGGCGACACCTTTATCAATAGATGGTGGTATACTGGTCAGAAGAAGTATAACAAGGCCAGCCATATAGACCACACATGAAACAATAATAGTCTTGTATTTGCCCCAGAACTGATCGGCTAGTATAGCACCAACGATCGGCGTAATATAAGCAAAAAATCGAAAAAACATTGTCAATGCAGTAGCAGTTTGCTGTCCACGATTGAGAGCGCCAGGTTGTGTATCATTTGCAGTAGGTAACGGAAATTGAATGTAATTTTGAAAGAGACCAGAAATTCCATAGAAAGCGAAACGCTCACACAATTCACAAATGACAATTAGCCAGACTGCTATCGGTATTCTATCAGAAATATGTTCCAATGTTGACAGCTCTTCGGCTGTCGGTTCAGGTTCATGGAACTCGTCTATTGGTTCGGTAATCTTCGGCTCAGCGCCAGTCGCAGTGTTCGACTCCATTTCTAAATCTATACTCATTTAGCACTGTATGTTTGTAGAGTTGTTTATGCTTGCGAAGGTTACTTGTTGTTTTCAACAGTGTTGTATAACGGATCTTTGAAATGCAATAACATAAAACAATGCGCTCTATCCCTCTGACATATATAGGTCGTCCTTGTCTAAATCCTTGAGCGTGCTTCATTCGAGGATGCGATAATAATGACCTTTTCGATAAGCTGATCAAACAATTGCAAAAAAACACGCTGATGAAGTAGTAACATATCATCGTCTCCGATTTAGAAAAAAAGCATTCGTTTGTACAATCGATCTTAAGAGAACATCTACACGAGGCATATATGTCAGATATTTAACTTGACCAATTTGAGATCGTCTGGATCAGCTTCTTCAATCGGTGTCCGTTAGATTTTGATCAAATTCAAACTATCCCTGAACATTCTCAATTGACAAAGATCACCATATCTCGAATCTGTCATAAAAAGCCCAAGAAAACTTTAAAATACAACTAGAAATCGTGAAAAAAACCAAGACTATTTCGAAAAATACTCAGAATTCGTCTGATACCAGTACTTAAATATTTTATTCATTATCTAGGACTGAGATTGTACGAGATAGTAACACTTTCTCTCGCTGACCATTAGTAACATTGGCTTTGTTAAATAGACTGTTTCGAACGAATGTCATTGTGAATGGTTGTACAATACTCATCGGTACTGAATCGATGAACTTTAATCTTTGTGTATGAGTAATTGATTTTAGAAAAAATATCGCGAAAGTGGGAAGAATAATAGCATTTTTATTCAATAAGAGTCTTAAATCTGAATTCATCGATCGATCAAAATCACAGATAAAACATTCTCAAATACTATCGCTTTTAGTATCATTAGACAAGATATTTATTACGATGAAAATATTTGATTTGAGTAGATTGAATTTGTAAAACAGTAGCCATCTGCCTATAACGAACACATTACCATGATGACGATGATGATCAGTTGTCATGGAAAGAATAACTATGAATAATAGAGAAAAGCTAAATCAATCCATATATGATGTTCTCCGATGTTAAGGAAAAATTTATTTCTTGACCATAAAAAATAGAAAAAGTATGAAAGTTTGTCTAACCGCGCACTATTACCATTCGCCCAACATCATTCAACACAGCCTCTCCATTATGGGTATGGGTGTGGGTGTGAGTAGGTGTGGATGTGAATGTGAGTGTGTTGGTTTGAGTGACTGTGGGTGGGTGTTACTGTTAGTGTTCTGTTAACTAAAAAGCACATCCACACCCATATCCACACACCCACAGCTACAGCCACACCCCACACTTACACCCATACTACACTAAATATTGCATGAACAACACTTGCCAGCCATCTATTGACAACAGGTCAAATCATAGTGGGCTTTTTTAATTCGAGTATAGCTATTTTATTAGATGGCAACTATTCTTTTCCTTATATTACAAGCTTTCGGCTGTAGTAGTGGCAGCGCCACAGGTGGACTGAGGTGGACTGAGCCCATCCAAAATCTTTTTGGGCCCATCCAGGAAATTTTTAAGCTCATTAAGAAATTTCTTCATCGTTTTCAACGAATTGTTAATCTTTTATATAAGTGATGTCCTAGCATACCACTCACTGAGCTATCAAATAGGTCCTATCTAGCTTTCTATTGGTTGATTATTGAAAACTACGCCAAAAGTTTAAAATATAACTCAGTCTTTAGAGTAGAGTTCTGCGGGAATAACATTTTTTGTTCCTGTTCTCGTAAGGCTTTCAGAATTCGTATTGCGATTTCATTTTTCGTGTTCAAGATAAAGTATTATTACAAGACACTAGCTTCTCTCAATGTCGCACTTTGTGCAACATGAAATTACCTTAGATTAAAAATAAAATTATTATAGGAGGTACATTTTAGTAAAAAAATCAATTACCATATATACATCGAAATTAATTGAAGTTAAGTTAGGGGAGTTATTTCCTTCATCAGTTGAGCAATTGAAAAGAGAAAAAATACTAGCACATCAACAACGTCAATAAACAAGCGAAGACTTTCAAGATGAGAAGATAATAATAATGATATTTTGGGAGATAATCTGAATAATAATTCTTTCGAAGATGATAAACACAAAGAAAGAAAATAATGATTGTAATAATTGAATTACAATTTAATCAATTATGAGTGAACTTGTCTAGGTTTTTTGTTGATTGACATTTTTTATTTTTGTTTTAATTAATAAGCGATGCAAAAGTCTTCGGAAAAATGTAACATTGAATTAACTTCGACATATTTTGTTTGAAAGAGCAAAGTTTGTAGAGCATGTACATAAAACAAAACAAAACGATTTTCGGGAACGACCTTTTTTAATATTGCTCCCGTTCCCAATTCCTGTGGAAATTGGAACAGGAAAAGACAAGAAAAAATCGTTTCCGCATGACACTACTTTGTAGTCTTTCAAAACTGTGTGAGACTGAGCTCACTCTGACCTCAATTTCTGACGTCGCCGCTAGACTGTAGGAATTAATGTTGGAATAAATAAGCTTGTTAGCGCAGCCCATTTGGAGCTGACATGTGGAATTCACATATGTTCTCTAGCTTCATTAAACTAATAGAAAATACGTAAAGTGAAAAATCTCTTGTAGACTATAATTGTTTTACAGGATAATCGAACACCACAATAAGAACCTTTCTAATTTCTGCATTTCAAGCAGAAATTTTTTATTTTTTTCTACGAGAGCCCGATTTTTTTGCATTGTTGCTAGTCGCTTATTATTTTTCGTTTGTTTTAATTCGTTTTTCGAAATTTAACATTCTTATTATTATAATCATTGAATTAATTGACAAATAAGTCTGTTTTACATATCCATGATGTCTACAACAGATCTTACGCACTACTGTATGTATTAATCAACTCACAAACCATGATGTTGATTATCTTTCAATATTATAACTTGATCAATTTTGCAAAAAACTCTAGAAAGTCTGACGCCTGTTATTCTCGATTGCTAAAGTCTGTAACGGAGGGGAGGGGGGGGAGGAAGCTCGTTGCTATGGTCTGTAATGGGTGTGGTGAGGATAGGAGGGGTGAGAAGCCTGACAATTTCGACTTAAAATTTCGACTCACTATTTTGTTCGAAAATATATGTGAGTTCCACAAAATGTCTAAATCTTGAAATGTTGAGAGATGTTTTTTCTCAAAGTTCTGAAGGAAAATCACATCCAAGAGTGAAGTCAAAGGAGATCCCATTGATACTCCATCGATTTGGTCATCAATTTTTCCTTGAAAGAGAAAATGACAATTTGTGACAAGCATTAACAGCTTCTTCATGTTTGCTTGTATCATCGTGAGAGGATTTACTCGAGTTTCATACAAGTGTTTGAGTATGATCTGGATTGTTTCGTTAAGTGGTACATGCGTATATAAACTAAATATATCAAATAACACCATCTTCTATTTTTGAGTGTATCTTTGACAATGTTCATAGTTCTTTGACGAAGGTAAATGAATCTCGAATAACGTTCTGGCTTTGTATTATGTCAGACAACATCTGTGTGAGAGCTTTACGGAGTCCTAATTAAATGTTCAAATTGCAGAAACAATTGACCGTAGTGGCACGTTGTCTTTATGAATTTTCGGCAATCCATACAGTCGCTCAAGGTTTGAATCAGTAGGACGCGCAGCATTATAGAATTATTCGGAGATATGACCTTCTTTATAAAGTCTTCTCAACAAATTTGTCAGACTATTCTCTCTTTTAATTGTAGGATCCTCAAATAGACATCGAAACTTCGACAAATCATTGATAATAGAATGTATTTTCGACATATAATCAACTCTGTCCATCACAACGCTACCTCTTCCCTTGTCCGGACGAGTAATAACGATTGATGTATCCTTTCTTAACTTTTTTTAGTATACGACGATACTTTTCTTAGCTAAAACCAACCGTATTCCGTTGTTGAAGAAATTGATTGGCTTTGAATCGAAACAAATCTGTTACAGAGCGCAGATTACTAACAAGCGTTATCTCTTTTGTGTCCAGAACGCGAACATCATCGCCAACCACCGTATCTTTCTCCGTAATCTCAGGCACGAGTTTCCTGTGATGCTGGACAACATCGGAGGTGGGTGTGAATACCAGTGTAATGGCTACCCGCTCCCACATTCACCACACCCACACAATCTCTAACAACAAGAAAACTCTAACTGAAATATTACCTCAGTTTATTTATTTTCCAGAATTGTCCACTCTCGTTGATGTCATAGTAGTGACATCCATGTCGAAACTAAATCCTTCGTTTGATTTAAAATGCTTATGATTATATTTAAAGACTAGGTAAAAACTATATTTGACTCGCTATTTTACAAATCTTGAAATATTTCTCTAAATAATTCACAATTACCAATCAGTATGTTGAAACCATTGATTAAATACAATTTATCGATCTGCTTTATTGGCAATTCTCGAAAAATCGTTTCTGGTGCCATAATCACGACAAAATCTGATTTAATCACTGGTTTTTCACGAAATATGAATGATCACAATTTTACATTGACATTTTTATCAAATTCAAATCGATTTTAATCTGATTTTTTTTACATGGGTGGTTGTGATGCAAACTCTACTAGAGCCTCACTTTCTCCTTTAATTGAAAAAATAGTGTACAGAGTGCTGTATGACTATTTCTTGTTTTATTCGTTTTGTTGATTAATGAAACCATACTTGAATCGGTTCATGACAAGAAAATATAATGCTGTTGTGTACACATAAAAAACTCAATTATATAGCGCAAGATGTGTTGTGAGAAAAAAATATCAAGAAACGTAATTCATTTGCTGCATCCCTCACTTTATAAAATGCTACTGTAGTTATTTTCTTTCGAATCTTCAATACGTAACCATTCATGGAATTGTAGAAGTCATACTATCAAGTTGTTTGATTCTTATTTCAAGCCATGGTATCAAAACTCAGCGTCTGGGACACAGATATACTTTCTTACTC